AGGAAGGACAGCCTTCTGAGTGTGTGTTTAGTCACCACAGCCACACAAGCAGCAGAGACGATGAGCTGTTGAAACCCTCTGGGTCCCCAAGGCTGCCACACTGTCCCCCGCCAGCCGCTTCCCATTTTGACAGAGCCCCATAATAACAATGCCCATAAATCTTTCACAGTTCCATTTCCCTCCTTTCTTCCCTCTAGGAAACAGCACACTCACGCCATCCTCTGTGATGCTCAGGGTGCATTCTTGACACACCCTGTTGAGGACCTCAGCTGACCTGGGCTTGAACCACATAACAGTGGCATCCCACGGGGGGGGGGGATGTAGGGGTACTGGGAGAATGCAGCCAAAAAATGGGGCTCAGATTCTGACTGCCATGGCTTCCAAGGGGCCCAGCTTCTTGCCACTCCATCTCAGTGCTTTGTGCAACAGGGGCTGCCCTCGGCCCCTCTCCCAGTCTGTCACAGAAGGAGGTAAAGAGTCACAGAGAAATGCCAGAACAGGGTCAGTGGGCTGCTATGCCGCTTGCTTCGCACAATCTCTTGGGAATTGAATGAAAAGCTTACTCTGACCACACTCACGCATTGTTGTCTATGGGTAAGCCTTCCTTCAGAGGCACGGAAGGTATCACCAATGTCAGTAACAAATTGTGTATGAAGGAAGACGCATGCTTTCAGAGCATTTTCTTTGGGGCTTTGTCCATGATTAGATTATACTAAATTACAGAGTACAGACACCAGAAATTACTCTCTGCTTTTAACTATTCAGTTTCATGGTTAATCCGTGCACCTCAGTAATTATGAAATCATGCCAGTGTGCTCAGGGAGAAAGCACCTCATCATCTCTATCTTGTGGGGCTCAGTTCCGGTCGCCTGGCTATTATCTGGGTCCTGTGAGTGTCAAGAACAAGCCTGCCTGCCAGGAGCAAATCTCCTCTCAGTCCCCTTAAATCACTGTGGGGTCCTGCTCATAGTGCTTTATAAATCTCTCCAAGGGAAGGAAAGCCTGAGGGATGGTCAGTTCCTGGGGTCACTGTGGATCCTTTGGTTCTTTTCGCTGCTTGGTTCCTTGTTTACCCATTGTAGTGTGTGTGTGTGTGTGTGTGTGTGTGTATGTGTGAGTATATGTGCGTGTGTTTGTGTGTGTGTGTATGTATATGTGCGTGTTTTTGTGTGTGCATGCGTGAGCGGTGACATTAAGTGTATCATCCTCAGCTGCTCTCCTTGCTGAACCTGGAGCCCACCAAACTGACATAGCTAGCTGACCACTGACAGTCTCCAGGGATCCACCTGCCTCGACCTCCTCACCCAGGGAAGACAGGTGGACGCCACTGTGCCATCTCTTCTGTGGTGCTGGGGATTGGCTGGTGGAGAAATGCTCCTTGCTGGCTAAGCAGTCTCCTCTGCCCTTGTGGTAGACATTTGTTTGTTTTTGTTCTGTGAGACAGTTTCACTCTGTAGCCCTGGCTGTTCTAGAACTCACTCTGGAAACCAGGCTGGCCATAAAATCACAGAGATCCACCTATCCCTGCCTTTCATGTGCTAGGATTAAAGGCAGGAGCCAGCACTGCTCTGCCCAGCCCTTTTTTTTTTTAAGGTTTTGTTTTGTGTGCCTATGTGTGGGTGTGAGCAAGTGAGTGCAGTTGCACACAGAGGCCAGAAGAGGGTGTTAGTCCTCCTGGAGCAGTAGTTACAGGAGCTTGTGAGCTGCCCACCTAGGTGCTGGGAACTAAACTTGGGTTCTTTGACAGCAGTACAGGCTTTTACCTGATGAGCCATCTCTCCAGTCCTGATTCTAAAGGCCTTTTCTTTTTCTTTCTTTCTTTCTTGTTTTTTTTTTTTTTTTCAAACAGGTCTGTGTCTCGCTATCCTTGTTTCCTGAAAACATGGTCATTTCATCTCAGTTCATCTCATGGATCCTTCCCTCCCTTCCTCCAGTTTTCATTACTTCCAGAGTTCATGAGCATCCCGTAGGCAATCCAGTCTGCAGCCCAAGAAACGAGAAGCAGAAGCGCTTGTTCCCAAGAAAAACAAACAAACAGAAGACTTATTTGATCAGACTGTAAACAACAGAAGAGTGGCAGGAGGAGGAGCAGGAGACAGGAGCAGACAGGCCTTAACTGCACAGGGCATGGCACATGCGGGTGCTAGTGGCCCCTGGGTCCCCACTGTGGCTCATTACTGAGAGCACTCAGGGACTATGGCGGGAGGTCAGCACGCACTGGCCACCTCCTCCCACTTAATGAACCCCTGATTTTCTGCAGAGACAGCGGCAGCGCATCCCCCAGGGGCTGTGCTCCACCAACCAATTCCCAGCTTAAAAAATACTAATAAAAGAATCCTAAAAACTGCATGTGGCAAAATCACCCAGGGAGTTGTGGGCCTTCCCCAGAGTTGCTCTACTCTCCAAACCCCAGGAACTTAGGAAAACAGCCCTAAAGGTACCAGCTCCCCACCCAATACCCAGGAGACAGAAGTTCCCTTCTGGTGACAGGAAGGTGGTCTCCACTGTGGGGCAGAGTGCGAGGCAAACATAGAAATGATGTCTCTTCCCTAGAAAAATGCCAGAGCACCTTGTTTTCCTGCTTTTGGAAGGATGTGGCAGGTGCGAGGGTGACCAGTATCTGAGCTGGGATGCATGAGATGGAGTCTGGGTGCAGTCGCCACAGTGGGCCTCTCCCTCGGGAGGTCAGAGCTTGCCCTCAGTCCCCGGACACTCAGAGCTCTGAGGCATGTGCTGTACATTTGGGGACTGTGTCTCGTTGTCTAGCAGAGCAGGCTCTGTTCTCACAGAAGGCTCCAGGGGATTCAGCATCCCAAACAAGAGTGGGGGAGGGGAGGGTTCTTACACTAACAACCACTCCCCAGAGCAGGTAGGCAGGTAGCAATGATGGTAGGGCACAGTGGCCAACTGCCAGTCACGTATGCTGGCTACAGCTGTGATTCCTATGTGGTTCCAGTTTAAAAATAAATGAGCACTTGTTAATATAAAATTAAGTTAGAATGAAATGTCCCATCCAGTTTTGTTTTAGTGGCAGAAATAAGTGGGCTGGCTGTGTGGTTTTGCTGTGGATGCTGGAAACTGTTGTTTGTCGCACGGTGACAATAAGAACAGTCCTCTGCTCTTGGCTGGGCCTCAGCTCTCCATCACTGATGCTAACAGTGAGAAGTTCCTCAGCAGCATTGAGTGCAGAGGCCTGAAGATCCCCAACAGAAACTAGACCAGGATTCTGGGAACCTGAATGATGACCCAGGTCTTTGCACTGATACCAGTCATGTGTGGGCAGAGCTGCCACCTCTCTGGGCCTCAGTTTCCCTCTAGCACTGGGGGCTGGGTGACAGCACATCTTCCCATTTGCGCTAACACTTGAACTTGGCCATAGCCAAAGGCGCCCATTTTGCATACAGCTCTCTCTGAAGGTTAACTGTTCCTATCCCGCCCTTTCCCCTACAGCCCCAGTTTGCCCTTTGGAAATTAGGCCATTAAATAAAAGAGGCAGCTCACGGGAGGAAGCTTTATTTGTTGGAGAGGGAGGGGTGTGTTTCCCACTCCAGTGTGGACACAGGCTCCTGGCCCTGGCTGGAATGGGCAGGGCATCTGCTGGTCCCCACCTGCTCTCTGCGGGGCCATCACTCAGCTGCAGGGGAAGAACACGTGCCCACTTATGAAGGGCCTTCTCTCTGGGCCCTCAGGTCCAGGGAGGAGGGCGGTGAGGTGGGAGGCTCAGGCAGTGCCTGGAAGTTCTCTGTAGCCTGAGGCAAGTCATTTAACCTCTGAGCTTCTCGAATCTCCAACACCTCCTCCCAGGGACCAGGAGAAGTAATTAGTGGCTGTTTGTCAGACAAGATCTCGCTTTGCACAACTAACTGGAGCAGACCTTGAACTAGGCGAGGCCAAAAGGATGCAAGATTTCGATTTGCAAGATGAATAGGGAAAAAAATCCGAAGCAGGGGAAAACAGTTAGTCTTCCTGATTTCCTTCTTGGAGTCTCTGGGAGGGAATGAAAATATCCCAGGGCAGGGCAGCTCTGGTGGCTCACGGGGAACCTGGGAGGGACCCAGCTGGGGATTTGGGGCAAGGTGGCCACCAGCGTGCAGCAGAGCAGCGCCCTCCCCCACCCCCACCCCCGCACCCGGAGGAGGCAGCTTGCTCTCAAGGTGGAAAGGAAGCGGCAGCCTTCAAACCCTGCCCTGTGCCTCCTAGAATCTTAATGTTAGGGTGGGTGGAGATACCACCCTCCTGTGCTTACCCAGGGGGTCCAGCAGCAGGGCCTCCCTCAGCAGCCCTTCCTGGGCAGCCTGGTACTTTTCCAGCTGCCTGGAGGTCATTCTTGCTCCAATTTGTGCTGGAGCAGTCAGCTGTGAAATAAGCAGTTAGCCAGCGGGGTGAGGCGGAGGGGTGCTAACCCCCAGGCGCCCTACAGGTGGCAGGAGGGACCTGCAATAGCGCAGCACCCTGCTCCACCCCAACTCCTTGGGACTCCAGAGGGTACCTCTGGGGCCCTCTCCACTTTGCAGCTGAATTTGCCTGGGGAACAGAATTGCCACATGAGTAGAGCTAACGCTGCAACCTCACTGAGTTCCAGGCTTGTCCCAAGTGGCTCCAGGAAGGGGAAAACTAGTGTTTGCCCTTTGTGGGTGGAAGGCCTCAGAGGTGCCAATGTAAATGGAGGAGGCTGACCTGACCCCTGTAGGACGTCCAGCCACACATGGACCCCTGGGGAGATGTGTGTCCCCAAGTATCCCTGGGAAGGGTGTACCCTTGTCCTCCTGTCCCCTGGGCACCTTGGCACCAAGGGTACAACTCGCTTTCAGCTCACTCTTGTAGAGTCCCAGGAGGAGGGTCCCATGATGAGTGTGAGGCTCCCTGAGAGAGCAGGGAGAGCCAGAAGCTGGGCTTCCCGCTACTGCAACTCCAGTGTGATTTCAGCAAGGCCCCCTTCTCCCTGGATCCCACTCCATCCTTTGTGTGAGATTCTACAGTCGAGGTCCCCCTGGGTTCTCCTGGTCCTGCCTCTGCGTCCCTGAGTGCTGAGGTTAAAGGCCTGCACCACCACGCCCGGTTTTAGTCCTGATTTCAAACATTTCTTCCAGTGACAGCCACATTCTCATCTTTGCCCCCATCTCTTTCCTAAGACTCACTGTTCTTCCTGATTAGGTGCCATCTCTAACTGGATGCCAACAGCTCCTTGCAGCTCAGAGGCTGCACTGGGAAATTTTATGTCAACTTGACGTAAGAGTTGTCAGAGAGAAAGGAACCTCAGTTAAGAAAATAACTCCATAAGGTTGGGCTATAGGCAAGCTTATAGGGCATTTTCTTAAGTAGTAATCAATGGAGAGGGCCTAGCCCACTGTGGGTGGGGCCATCCCTGGGCTAGTGGTCCTGGGTTCTACAAGAACAAGCCATGGGGAGCACGCCAGTAAGCCGCACCCCTCCAAGGCCTCTGCCTCAGCTCCTGCCTCCAGGTTCCTGCCCTGCCTGAGTTCCTGTCCTGACTCCCTTTGATTATGAACTCTATGTGGAAGCATAGCTGGATAAGTTCTTCTCTCCCAAGTTGCTCGGTCATGGTGTTTCCTCGAAGCCAGAGTAACCCTAACTAAGACAGAAGCCCAGCCTGGCACCTTGTTCTTCCTCTGCCCCAGCTGAAGCCCTGCTAGCTGCTCCAGCTATGACCTGAGATGCCAGCCCCTCTGCTCCTCCATCCATTTATGAGTCGCTTTCTTCACCTCCTGTATCACAACTTCCCATAAAATCCTGTGGGTTTCTATCTCTCAAACCACTCCAGGGCTCCTCCCCAACTTCCACTTTTCCTCTCTTTGTCATTCCCCAAGCCCTGCCCCAGTCCCACAGGCTCCCATGGCCTCCCTATTTCTGCCCATTCTCAAATACAACAGTTGGGCAGCCCCCTTTAAAATGTAAATCAGACCACGTTTCTGTTACTCAAGGGCTTTAGCAAAGTGATCCCCGAGTCCCAATCATGCTGCCCTGATCCCACTTTCCCCACCTTCCTCAGCTCTGGCCTTTCACTCATTATTTCTGACGTACCACGCTCTGCCCCAGGACCTTTGCATTACTGATGTTTTCTTTGTCTGGATGTCTTTCTCCTGAGACCTCCTGGAGCTTCTCTTTGGGTCTTGTATTTAATAAAAACCTACTCAGGAGGCTGGCCCCCTGCCCGGCCCCATGCTGTTTGATGAACCCACCTCATCAGCCTTCCTGGCTTGGTGTTCCTGAAAACTGACTGTTGCTGTGTGCCACACTGTATCGCTTGATTATTTGCCAAGTGAGGCTGTCCCTCTAGTCCTCTGCTCTCCTGCAAGGGGGAGGGCCGTTGTCTATTTCCTTCACTCTCCCTCCAGCGCCTGAAGGAAGGAGTTGCCTGCAGCCAGCAGTTCCCAGTGTGAAGGGACCAGGCCTTGGTCTGCAGGCCCTCCTCTGTTCTTTCCCAGGATGGATGGACAGTCATCTCAGGCAGCTCCTTCCTGAGGACACCCTCTCCTGCCTCCTCAGCTGCAGCCCCACACGGGGGCTCATGCTCTCCGTTTGGAAGCAGACACCTCCTCCGAGAAGCATTCCTAGCGTCTCTACACGAGCTGAGCCTTGAGTGTCCAGTCACTCTCTCCAGCAAGGCAGCTGGCCTTCCTTACTTTGTGGGCTCTTCTTCCCACCCTTTGCCCCCACCCCATCCACTCATTTCACCCCTGTCACTAGATAGGAGAGAAACAAAGGAATCTAATTTCTTTCCTTTTGTTTCTTTTTTGACCATGGCTACTAACAAACCACAACCAAGCTCCCTAAACAACCAGCTACCAACCCCACCTCTCAGGGCCCTAGTATTTATGTACCCTCTGAAAAGTTTCCAGAATTCCAAACATCACACAGTCGTAGTGAAAGGGTTAGACTAACTTTGTAACCTGTATGTCTTCTAAAGCCTATTGTTTTGAGTTTTAGGTCCAGGTTAAGCTAAACCCTCTTAGTACCTTTCCAGAGAACAGAGGAATGTGACCCTATCTGTGAGGACAGATATAAAAAAAAGCAAGCAAGCAATGACCTTCACTCAGCAAAAAGAACAACCAGACCCTTGTCTTCAAGATAGTGTTTCTTAGCAATGAACCCAGATGGCCTCAATCCTTCTTCTGAGTAGCTCCTGACTTCCAGCCAAAAGTCTGCAGCCCCAATCTTCAAGGATGAGCTAACCACCCCCACCTTCAATTGCAGCTGCATCCACACTTGGCAGGACTGGCTAAGCTTGAGCACCTAAGAATAACCAATTATCTTACTTTCTAGCTTCCTCATCCAATCCTAAATTGCCAAAACTGCAATTTCAAATTTCACGCAATTTTTCTTTTAAAAACCTAAGGTCTTTGTCTCCCGGGGCCACTCTTTGCTGACCAGCAGGGGTGACCCCATTGCGCAATGGTTAATAAACCTCTTGCTTTTGCAACGAGTCATGTGGTCTGTGGGGGGGGGTCTGGGAAGGGCACGATCTTAAACTCCTGAGCTGTGAGACCCCAGGTCCTACAGTAGGAACTATCTGCAGCTGGCAAAACCATGCCTCTGCTAGAGCACCAGTCAAATCATAGTCAGCTGCTGTGGACAGTCCAAAGCAGCCCCCAGCCCCACACCTGGGATTAAAACAAAATCACATTTTTATAATATTTCTGTGTGATTTTAAAGAAACTAAAACTCCGAAGTTTTCAATGTACTCCTCCATTCTTAGATGGCTGCATGATTTTATCTCATTGCTGTGTCCATTTTTCTGTCCTATGACAGAACTCATGCCTAGATGGCTTGGTCACCAACTGTGGCCCAGAACATTCTGCCTCTGGCTGTCCCTGCCAGATCAGAGAATCACACCCCATGCTATGTCCTTCCATGGTCCCCACTGTCTGCTCACCTTGATGATTTGGGTTTCTTCTTCCAGTGTGGGCTCCTGGGGGTCCATAAGTCCTGCCTCCTTGGTTTCCTGCTGGAAGGCCACTGGATTCTGTGCCTTGCTTCTCTCTCATTCCTACAGCAGGAAATCACGGGGTTACAAGTGCCTTCCTCAACCACTCTCTCCTATCTCCCACCACCCAGCCCACACTCTCTAACTCCAAGACAGCCATCAGCTCTGGTGACTCCTGCATGATGCCTTTCAGATGCCCAGTGCTTGAGGACTGGCTTGGGGTTGTCCACCAGCAAGCCACTTCTAAGACATCATTCCTTGGTGCTTAAAAAAAAAAAAAAAAAAAAAAGCACCCAGACAGTTACCGTTAATTAACTTAAAACGCTGAGAGTAATGACTGCCCTTCATGCATATTTAAGTGTGCAAATGTGTCTTTCTTAGGAGAGAGCCCATAAAGAAGGTAGCAGACAGCCTCGCCCGAGAGGGCGTCATGGGGTGGCCAGGAACTCCCAGTCCCTGGGAAGTGATTTATAAGAGGCGAGACAGGGAGATGAGTTATGGGCAAAGGAATAGGCAGTTTCTTCATAAAAATCTCGGCTTCCAGCAATTACAAGGAAAACCACTGCGCACATTAATACAGCCGGTTTGGGGGTTGCATTAGGGAGCTGGTGCCCCTATGAGTCACGCTGCTTCAGTTTAGCCCCGCTCGGCCTGCAACACGTGTGCCCTCCAGTCAGATAAACCTGTTGGCATCTCTGATGCTTGGGACTGTCCCCGCAGACACTAGAACAGTCTAGTGATCTTTAGCCAGTGCCCGCCCCAGAGTGGTCTGGATTAGCGTGGCCTGTCCCGGCAGGGACAAACTTTCCCCAGACAACTTCTCAGACTCCCCTGAAGCATGAAGTCAAAGGTACCAGGAGCCAGACCAGCAGCCCCATTTTTCCTTATCCACAGCCAACGGAGTTCTGTTGGGCCTTGTTTTATCCTGGACTCACCAGGGGAGGAAGGTTATGCTCACACTGGCTACTTGACTCCCAGTATCCCTCTCCTCTCTTCTCCCAAGGGTCCAGGCTCCGCCTTCCATGGCAGCCCAGGAATTCTACCGCTGAACCTCAGTGCTTAGATTAGCCCCATGGTTGTTTGGGGGTAGAAATCTCCTGTGGCATCGCCTCGTTGTGGGGAGGGCATTCTTGAGACAGGATCTCAGGTGGTCGAGTCTCAAACTCAATATGTAGCTGTGAAAGGGTTAGACTAACTTTGTAACCTGTATGTCTTCTAAAGCCTATTGTTTTGAGTTTTAGGTCCAGGTTAAGCTAAAGCCTCTTAGTACCTTTCCAGAGAACAGAGGAATGTGACCCTATTTGTGAGGACAGATATAAAAAAAGCAAGCAAGCAATGACCTTCACTCAGCAAAAAGAACAACCAGACCCTTGTCTTCAAGATAGTGTTTCTTAGCAGTGAACCCAGATGGCCTCAATCCTTCTTCTGAGTAGCTCCTGACCTCCAGCCAAAAGCCAGCCCTAATCTTCAAGGATGAGCCAACCACCCCCACCTTCAATTGCAGCTGCATCCACACTTGGCAGGACTGGCCAAGCTTGAGCACCTAAGACTAACCAATTATCTTACTTTCTAGCTTCCTCATCCAATCCTAAATTGCCAAAACTGCAATTTCAAATTTCCGCAATTTTTCTTTTAAAAACCTAAAGCTTTTGTCTTCCGGTGCCACTCTTTGCTGACCAGCAGGGGTGACCCCATTGCGCAATGGTTAATAAACCTCTTGCTTTTGCAATGAGTCCTGGTCTGGGGGAGTTTCTGGGAAGGTGGGAAGGACGCGATCTTGAACCCTGAGCTGTACAGCTGAGGTTGTTCTTGAACTCTTGGTCCTCCTATCTCTGCTACCTGAGTGCTGGGATGAGCCGGAATGCTCACTCGATACTGTTCTCTTGTCTAAAAATGTTAACCGGTTTCTCATCCACGTGAGTGGGTCGCCTGCTCCTGGAACATAGCTGCAGGCATGGGCACAGGGTGCTCCCTGGTTCCACAGAGGAGCCTGTGAAATACTTCTCCCTCTGAAGGAATGTGAGGGCACAGCTCCCACCCCTGGAGCCACAGAGCTCTGAGAGATGCTGAAGGGGACTCTGCTGCTGTTGTCTGGGTACAGCTTGCTCCTGGAACTGCCGCGAGGAGCTTACCAAGCATGCCTGGGCTTCAGAGACATCCAAGTGGCTTGGGGATGGCCCACACACATGCGTGCATGCCTGCCTGTCTATGTGTCTCACCTGCATTCTCTGGAGTTCACTGTGGGTGAAGATGGAAATGAAGGCTTCAGTCTGGGAGGCCAGCACGGCAGCTGCATATGCCACTAGCAAGATGACCACAGCCTTGCCGGATGCCATCCTGGAATCTTGGGAGGGGAACTCTGACAGAAGGTTACAGCACAGTGATGGACTCCTGTGCTGAAGGACTCTGGTACAAGCCCGGCTTCTACCGGTGTGGTTCTGAGCCAGTGCTTGGCTTCTGTGGGCTGGCCCCAGCATCTGGATTCCCTAATGAGCGCTGAGCTTCCCGTACTAGAGTGGTGGCCCCTGATAAAGATCTGGGGAAGGCTGCCCCGCCTGCTCATTCCACTGGGTACTCTTTGCTTGGTGAGCTCAGATGGTCCCCTAATGGGGCAGGAGGAGCCTCACTGTTCAGAAAAAGAACTCATAAATTACCAGCAGAGCCCAGAGAGTCCTGCCCCTTCTTCAGAATGATGGAAAGGGTAGCTCTGGGACCATTAACCCACTCAGGGAAGAAGACGGATTAAAAACTTCATCACCCAAGGCTGCAGTGGGGTCCTCCCACCTGGGGTGAGCACCAGCTCAGGACAGGCTCTCTGCACTCTGATGGCCATGCTGCCCACTGCTGCCAACCCCGAGCAGAGAGGGTGTCAGCAGGCTGCCCCTCACTTAGGTGATAGGATGGCAGGCAGGAGGCAGGTTATATGTCTTGGCAGGAGCGGCCCTCAGCACTCAAGTCATGCCGGGGAGAGGTGGGCATGGAGCGTGTAGAGCTGACTTGAGGAAGAGGGCCCGAGTGGTCCTGGACTGGTGGCATAGCCAGACTGGGCGCCAGCCTCTGGCGGCTCATTCAGAAAGAGGCAGCTGGAGCCCTGGTCTTCTGAGGCCTGGTGTTTCCCACTTCCCAGGGCCCAGCATCTCTGTCTGTGGAGGAAGAATGGGGGTCAGGTGCAGGCCACCTGATGTAGTCAGGGTGACAGCTTCTTGCCTCAGGGACTACTAAGCTCAGGGGCGACACTTCTGGTAGGGAGGGGAATCGAGGCAGCCCCCGGGGCCCTGGATTGCAAAGGTTCCTATCCAATGCTTGGCATGGGTTCCGAGGCAGAAGACAGTCTCCAGGCTTCTCCGCATCCAGCTCTGCCTTCAGAGAGAAACTTCCTTGGCCCTGCCTTTCTGCCAGATCCTGTCTCCTCACCTCACCACCTACCCTCTCTCCTTCCTCCTCCTCCTCACTTTCCTGTGCCCTCACCCTCTGTCTTTCCTCTCCCTACTTTCTTTCCATTTTGTTCAGACTGTGAGCACCAGAGAGCATGGACAGCCCGAGTTTCCACTCAGCTGCATTTAATTCCCAGGAAGTCAAAGGGCACCTTTGTGCACAGAGCCCCCAGGCCACGGTCCCCCTCTCTGAGACTGATTTGTCCCATTTCCTCCACAGAAGTGCTCAGATGCCTCCTCAGTCTGCTGTTCACATTTAATTCACTCCATAGGAATCGATGAGAACTTTAAATATAAAAAGGCAAAATCCAATTGCTGTTCATTTTCTTGATCCAACTGGCAGCCTGCATGTCACCTCCATTTGTCTGTGCTTTAGTGAGCGGGTAGTGGGGGTCTGGTAGTGTACCCAGGGCTGACTGCCCTCTTCCATTGCGGGGGCTCCAGCGCAGCTTCCAGGGGCAGGCCCCTCCTCTCCTACTACTATCTGGCTCCCTGAGACTCTCTGTGGGGTCTCCCTTGGGACCAGATTATTTCTAAGTCCAGAGCAAAGCCTCCGTGGTGAGGCCGTAAGCAGAGCTGTGTCCCTGCTGAGCTCTGCTGGTTCCTGGCCAACCACCACCTGAACAGCCTCTGGACTGGACAAAAATACCCCCACTGCTCCCTGCTTCTCTTGTCCGCTCAGGCGCCGTGTGTGCCCCCTTCTAGGGCTCTGAGAGGCAGCTCAGGAACCAGGTCTGAAGCCTAGTTGGGCGTGTGCACATGGCACAAGGGCAGGAGGGGACCTGCTAGCTCCCCCTAGCACCTGGAACTGTCCACTGCCCAACCCACTCATGTCCCCCATAATTACTTACACTTGAGTGTGGTCTGCACAGCCTGGAGGATACGCTCTGGCTGTCTGGTGCTAGTCACTGGCATGCTGGGTCCTCATAGACATCTTCCCTTCCGAGCCGGTTGACCTTTGATCACACGATGGGAGCTCCAGGTGGGCAGTCTGGATTGCTCAGCCTTGTGGAAAGCAGGGTAGGGCCATGACACTGAGGGCTTCCGGGTAGTTCCCAGCTGCCTCTTCTGTGTGTGACGCCCCCCTCACCCATCTCCTGTCCACTGAAAACTCAGTGTCTCTAGCTCAGCATGGTAGCTAGGTCTGTAACTCTAACACCCAGTGCTAGAGGGTCAGAAGCTTACACCAGCTTCAGCTATGTATGCAGATTGAGGTTAGCCTGGGCTACTTGAGACCACTGCTAAAAAAAAAAAAAAAAGGCTAAATGGTCGTGGTGGTGGCGGTGGTGCCGGCACACGCCTTTAATCCCAGCACTCAGAGGCAGAGGCAGAGGCAGGAGGATCTCTGTCAGTTTGAAGCTAGCCTGGTCTACATAGGGAGCTCCAGGATAGCCAGGGCTAAATAGTGAGACCCTGTCTCAAAAAAAAAAAAAAAAAAAAAAAAAAAAACCAGAAAAGAAAGGAAAAAGGCATGAAGTAAGCATGAAGACTTAAACCTATATAAAAAAGCTGGGCATGGCAGAACCCTCTTGTAATCCCAGCTGAGGTCCCTCATCAGAAGTCTGGTCCAGCGGTGTCTCCGTTTGAGAGGTCTGGGGTGGGATTGCCTTCAGTGGTCAGAGGAGAAGGAGAAAGGCTGTAACACTGAAAAGAGCTGGCGCCTCCAGTTCAGGAGCCGTCCTGGCTTCCAGCCAGCCCAGGGTGTCTGCACACCGACAGAGCACAGCGGCTGTAGTCTGTGGCAGGGTGGGGCGGTAGAGACGAGGAGGAGGTCCACGGATGGCCACATAGCTGCTGGACTGAGCGGCCTTCCCTCCTGCCCTTTCTCAGACATCTCTGTAGGCCAGGTGGGCCCCAGTGACCCGCCTGCCTGGACAGGCGTGCAGTGCTGGACTGGCTGCTGTGGTACTTTCCAGCCACGGTTCCTGCATTAGGAAAGAGAGAAGGCCGATAACAAGACCAATGATGGCTACTTTGTCTTTGCCGTGCACCTCACCTCTCCCCACAAATGCTCAATTAGTGGCTGCTTTTCCTGCTAGAAAACTGGACAAAAATAGGAAAGCATAATATATGCTCTTCATTTTCCAAAAGGGAACCGTCACGGATGCACAGGGCCAGGGTGAGAGACTGTGAAAACCCTGCTCCGGCTCGTGAAAGGAAGCCACGGAGCTCAAGGAAATGGCTCAAACCACATGTGGGTACTTGATGGCCTCCTTCTCCCCATAATGGGCAGAAGTATTAGCTACTTAACGCTCTTAACCTAGTGACCTTGGAAATATTGTTTGCCACACACTTCCAGAACATCTTCATTAAGGGCCTGGAATGAGGTGGCAAAGACAAGTTAATTAAATTTGCAGATGATACTAAATTGGGGAGCGTAGCATCAGGGAGGACAGAGACTGAACACAGGGAGAGGTCAAGGGGTCGGAGCAACGGTCTGGAAACGGTCCCAGTGAATGGCTGGACTTAGGTCACCAAGACCCTCAGGACACAGGATGTGGGAGAAGATGGAAAGGGCAAGGCGATACCCCTGAGAGCTGATGGGAGGAGAGGCACTTCAAATATGGCCTTGTTTTCTTGATGCTTCCCTTAAAGAGGCAGAGGATGGTGGCTAGAGGGAGGTGGAGCTCAAAATAACCCAGGATTCCTGGGAGTGTCTGAGCTGAGGGCATAAAAATGAAAACTGAGAGGTCCCTCATGAAAGGTGGTGTTCTCAGAAAGCTGGTAAGAATTGGGTGTGCAAGGCTTGTGTTAAGCAAGACCAAAAAGAGGCCAAGAACCCAGAGGTACTGCTGGGCTGTGCACTCAGAGTCCTCAGTATCCCTTGCGGAGCTGGAAGCAGACACCTGGACTTGGGAGCAAGCAGGGTCCAATCTAGGTCAAGCAGAGCATTGAGAATGGTGCCCCGGAGGACACGGTCTTTGGTTACCTGTGGCTTTGGGTCTTCTCCTTTTTGGTTTCTGTTATTTTTCAGAACTCACAAATGATTTCCAAGAGACCTGATGCAGAGCACAACTGCAGCCACCCTGAACCTCATGACACTGACCTAAGGAGACACAGACAAAGAGAGGATCCATCCTGCACCAATTTCCAATTCGCTGAGTGGCTTGTTTGAGCTACAGCTGCTGCGGGCATTAACATCTCTGCATCGCCAATTTCCCGCGGAGTCCACAAAACACGCACAGGAAGCCTGGCCCCTAAACAATCTGATAAAAATGCATTCCTCTTCGGTTCAGCTTCCTGGACTATTGACTATGGGTGCCGGCCCCCTGGGGCTCAGCACAGAGTCACAACAGCGCCCCGCTGACTTCCGGATCAATACTTCTCTGGGTGGTTAAAATACCTCTAGAAATGTCCCCGTTCCTAGCTTGCTTCTGGGTTCCCTATTTACAGAAGTTTATTGGGAAGGCTATCGCTGTAAAACTTTCAGAGAGGACACATGACTTTGCTTCCAGGGACAGAGTACAGGCACGGAGAGCGGGCCTCATGGCTGAGTATCTGTGTAGGGGAGCATGTTCTTTCAGCACTTAATATGAGTGGAGTTTGGGGTATCTGATCTCTTCTGAGATTGAATTTTAAATGCATTTATGGTTTTTACAGATGATGGATGTGTTTGAAGAGACAGCACGTGGCTTTAGAATGCATTAATTTCAAGGAAAGGCTGGCCTTCTCCTTTCTCTTCAACCTGCTGGCCAGGCAGCTCCCCGCCTCCCTAATCCAGGCACTAGAACAAGAAGGCAGCAGAGCTGACACGTTTTCATAAATGATTAAGGAAGTCCACAGTGTGAGAAAGTTTGCGCTTTCATGTTTGGGGAAGAGACAGTCTTGGTAGAGGTTTTATACGCCGCAATGCCGGGAGCCAGCGCTGCCTCAAATGTCAACCTGATCCAGGCACAGAAGTG